TACTCAATCGAATACATCCAGTAGTAAGAACTGTAATGCTCTTATTTTTAAATGTGAAAATGACTCATAAACTCATGATAAATCTGAAGCGAGATGTAACTCATGATAAGACGTGCGATGAAGGCTATCATGAGAGACAGCAAATGTTACTGATAAGAGATAGCAATTGATACCAGGTAACCACTTGGCTATATAAGTAGCTCCCATGTGACTTCTCACATCAGTGATAATTCAATATCATACTGTCGAAAATTGCTAATTATCGTTAAGTAATTACTCATCGAAAATGTTTCCAAAGCTCATCTTGCCTCTTTTGCTCGCTGCAATTGTACTGGTATTGTACACACCGTCTGAAGCATACGTGCCCAGAGCGCCTGCGAAGTATCCTGGTGCAAATAGAAGTCATCATCTCATCGCTGGAAATCGACTACCTGGAGATCGCCTGGCCCATCAGGAGTACATCTACCGAGGGTCATCGGTTTGGCAGATGTCTATTCAGAGAATTTTCAGCGCCGCAAAATTCGAGAAGATCACGCAGGTTCTTGCCTTGGATCAAACCAATAATGGCACTGGAGGATATGCCAACATCGTCAGAGGTGGACCCGGTTCTACCAATGTTACCCTTCAATTCACAAACCAGAAGAACTATGGCCTCAGATTTCTTGTACAGATTTACGCCAGACGTTGAATTATAGTTGAAAGGTGATGTGGAATTATTCTGTTTCTAAAATCTTATCACATGTTCAATTATTCTGACATCACCAATCAATATTGATCACCTGTCTGTGAATCATCCTGAATAAAACGAATATTGAATATTTACAAATGTTTTTGTGTGAATTCTCTCCCCTTGTTGAGTTCCAGAGCGTTGTTGATATTCTTCCACTCATTCTCTTCTGCTTATATTTTTTAGTCGTATCCCCTTGTTTGCATTTTCAAAATCAGATGATCCCTAAAGAGATATGGCTATATTTCCATAAATATAGTATATTTGATCAGAAATCAAATGCTATCAATATACGTCACTGAAATTACGTGACTCAGAGATAGTCATCTATATAATAATAATAGTCCATCAGGTTCTTCCCCGAAAAATTCTAGAGAGGATTCCTGAGGCGAATACATATATATGAAATTACGTTTTACTTGACGATAAAACTTTTTTTTAAAAATCCAGGTCTAAAAAGCACTGTCATCATTTATAGTTATGATATGTGCATAGAAATAAATAAAAACTGTTGATTTCCATTGACAATTTAAAAAAATTTATTTATTATCCATTCATAGCCGATTGGGCTTTTCACACATTTCCCTTGAGTTTA